ACCTGATCGGAAGCCCAATGTTAGTCTGCGGGCAGCCAGATCAAATGGATGGGTGTCCATTTTCATCCGGTTACCCCTGACTCTGGCCAGATCAGGAATAACAAACAGATCAGAGTTCCATTTCACCAGACCCGATTGTGCTGAATCAGGGGTAATCTGATGTAAATGGAAATGGTCTGTATACATCTAATTCCCCATAGGCCAACATGAGTCCTGTAATTTCAGCTTTTTCCTCCATTGCAATATGTAATAAAAAAACTGCACATACACAGATGTAACATCTGTTCAGATCAGCAGGGGATCCGTGCACAGATCCCCTCCTGATAAGACCATGTGAAAGGGGCCTTATGGTCCTCACCAAGCTGATGTATGACAGCCTCTATAATACTGTCCTTTTATTAAACTTGGCTTTAAGGCTGTCTGATTATTGTTTCACCACAATATCAAGCAAAAGGCCCCAAAAAGTGCCTAAAATATATAACTATTACTTATGAAATTATTATTACTACTAAAATTACTTTTTCAACATTACTATTTCAACCTCTCAGTACTGAAACTAAGTTGTCTGGACATTGGAGCAGTATAGGACTGTGATTATCGGTCACTGGGTCTGGGATGAGTCAGCCCCAGATCTGCTCCCAAACAAGTAAAACTGAAGCAGGAAATGGCTCATTAAACTTGTGCAAGATAAGATAATAAGCTTCTCATGCACTAATGAAGGCCCAGGATGTATTTAAGTTTTAGAGACAGACAAGAAACTGTTCTCTTCTCTCAAGATGTTAATATGGCACACATGCCATGTCTAAATGAATAATAATGGATGTACAGAAGTGAAGATTCTCAGTGAGCATGATAGTAGCTAGAGAACACAAATCATTGGTGAAGTGTTATATATCAAAGTGTAAAGGCAGATCATATGGGAATAGCATAACCACTGATAGGCTTTTAAATGCCTACAGAAAACAAAGGCAAGGAAATGAATGGCATTGTAATGTTTTCATAGTTGTGAACGAAACCCAAAACTGGATTCACCCCGGATCAGGGTTCTCTGTGGTGGTTGGAGGGCCTGTAAGTTTTAGGGCCCATTACAGGTAAGGGCCACTACTAGGCAATATAATTTGTGGTTGTAGAGCAATGTGGATTGCCTATATAGCAGGACATATTAGGCTCAATTTACTTAGATAACTGAGTTATTTTAACTCCATTCATTATCAAATGTTCATTTCACGCACACAAAAAATGTTTAGGTGTGCATTTTTTTTGTGGTAATAAATAAGGTTTTAAATGTTGAAAGCCTTATTTAAACATCATTTCTGCAACTGATTGCACTAGTAGTCAGAAGTACCCCAAAATGTATTTGTGAAAAATGCCCATGATACGGTGTGCTTTTTTTTAGCTACATTTCCATCAACCACTTGCCGTCCAGAGCAATTTTTCTATTTGACACACACTTGATAAAATCGTGAATGGACATGCACCGGGTGGGCCACACATGTTAGGCATCGTTGTGCACACAGGAGTGGGTTATAAGTAAGTTATGCTCACCTGAACCTTGGAGCTGGCTGGCTGTCACAGGGCTCCCTCTAGCTTGTCTCCTCCTATGCTGCAGCAATGGTATGTCCCTCGACATCCTCACATATAATACACTGTGTATACACTGATGACTCGAGGAACCCTGGACTGCTGCAGCGAAGGGGAAGCATGGCTGGAAGGGTTGGTCTAAGAGCTGACTGGATCAGGTGAGTATAACTTTTTTTATTTTAGTCCCTAGACACAATCAGCAGTTATTGTTTCACAGGCACCTGTAATTTTACTAACCCTGCCGCTCCGTGTAAACAGTGAGAGTGGAGAGCAGCCTTCCCCTCTCACCTGTCACATTAGTTCCAAAACAGTGCTGTGCTAGAACTCCTGTATTGAAGGTGACAGGGTCAATAAAGAGAACCTGTCACCTCCAAATGCTATCACACAGGGGCTCCTATTTGATAGCAATAAAGTTGAGTAAAAAAAATAAATTGATTAAAAAAAATTACATAAAATAAAAAAATAAGTAATAATAATTAAATTAAAAAATTAAGTAAAAAATAAGAAAAACAAATGACAAAAAATTATTTAAAAAAAATAAAGTAAAAGATAAGATAAATTAAAATTTTAAAAAGTAAAAAAATAAAAAAATTGATTGAAAAAGTCGAAAATAAAAATAAAGAAACAATAAAATAAATTCAAACCTACCTGCCCCCGGCTGGCATTCTCCATTGTTAGGGGGGTGTTGGCAGGGAGGGGGGCGCATTGAGGAACCTGGCCTTGAGGCAGCAGGGAGAGTAAATCCGGTCCTGCTTCCAGGTAAAGATAAGTACCCCAGATCTTGTGTGAAGATGCTTCAGCACAGCACAGGAGCATCTTCTAATGAGATTTGGGATCCTCATCTTTCCCAGGATCTTACCAGAAGGACCATAATGTTACCCTTACCAAGTAGCCTCTAGCAATGTGTACCCATCTATTTCCCATAGTATACAGTACTGTAGAAAAAAGAAAAAAATTATTTCTCTGCTTTAAAGAAACCCTGTCAAGCTTTAAAGAATCCCAAGTTCTCTGCAATAAAAAAAAGCTATTAAAGCTTTCTTATGGCCCATGTCTTCTACCCCTGCTATGTTCCAGCTTTGAAGCCCCTGTAAGCCTCTACATACAACACTTCCATGAGTTTCAGATGCTTGCGTCTCCTACCACACTATAGCTCTAGTCCAGGGGTGAACCTCCCAGCGCTGCAGCCGATGTGGCTGCCCCAGGGCCCAAGGCTGGGGGCCAACTGAGATCCGGTCCTGGAGGATTGGAAGTGAGATACTGTAGCTCTTTACATTTTTAAATGGATTCAGCTGCCATGAGGTCCCAAGGCAGCCTTCTGGGGAACCCCAGTGGCGCTGCTCAGAGCGCCGGCCTGCAGATCACACAACTTTCCACTGGCCTGCAAAGCTCCTCAACTGGGCCGCAAAGTTTGTCCACCAGCCCGCACACCAGCCCGCACAGCTCCTCCATCGATCCCCCACAGCTCATCCAGCATCCACTCTCACAGCGCTTCCGCCGCCCGCACATCTGCCCCTGCTGCCCTGGTGAGACCCTCCGCATCTGCTCCTTGTGAGACCCTCTGCATTTGCCCCTGGTGAGACCCTCTGCATCTGCCCCTGCTGAGACCCTCCCTGTCTGCTGCTGGGGAGGTCCACCACATCTGCCACTGGTAAGAACCTCCGCATCTGCCTCTGTTAAGACCCTCCACATATGCCCTTGTGAGACCCTTTGCATCTGCCCCTGCTAAGACTCTCTGCATCTGCCCGGGTGAGACCCACCGCATCTGCTCCTGGTGACACCCTCCGCATCTGCCCTGGTGACACCCTCCGCATCTGCCCTGGTGACACCCTCCGCATCTGCCCTGGTGACACCCTCCGCATCTGCCCTGGTGACACCCTCCACATTTACCCCTGGTGACACCCTCTGCATCTGCCCCTGGTGAGATCTTCTGCATCTACCCCTGCCGAGACCCTCCGCATCTCCCCTGGTGAGACCCTCTGCATCTGCCCTTGTGAGACCTTCCGCATTTGCCCCTGGTGAGATCCTCTGCATCTGCCCCTGCTGAGATTCTCTGCATCTGCCCCTGCTGAGACCCTCAACATTTGCCCCTGGTGGGATCCTCTGCATCTGCTCCTGGTGGGATCCTCTGCATCTGCTCCTGGTGAGACCCTCCGCCCAAGATATCAGGCTGGCATCCTGGAGCAGCACAGTAGGTATTAAATTCATATACTACTCTATATTGCTGTATAATGTATAGCTGGGATTTGTAGTCTCTCTACAGCCGGTGCCATTTTGTATTAGAGTGTAAGCTCCTCTGTACAGAGACTAATGTGTCTGGCTCAGTGTTCTCTGTACAGCACTATGGTATATGTCAGTGCAATATAATTGAATAGAAGAATTAGTGTGTGACTATTGGGGGACATTATAGTGTAAGCTTCTTTGGTGCAGAGACCAACAAGGGGGTTGGGGGGCCAGTGAGATCCGCTTCCAGGACCCCCCTCCCCCGGGAGCGGAAATGGGGGGCCCCAGAAAGAATTTTGCACCAAGGCTCTTTGTACTTTAGGTCCGCCACTGCTCCAGTCTGTGTCACTGCCATATCCTGTAGTGATTAGAGGTCAGAGGAAGGAACCACAGCGGAGGACACAGCCATCCAACACTTCCAGGAGCATCCATTAATAGAGAGTCTGCACTGCTGACAGGATCTCTTTCATTTTATAGTGCAGATGTGATATGTGCTCTTCTTAAAATGTTTATTATTCATTTTATAATTATTAATTTATCTATCTCTATATCCGTCTACCTACTGTATCTATCCAAAAGATCCTAAATAAAAAGGTGAATGCATTCTAGCAGATAATAAGCAGAAAATCATTCAAAATCATCCAGTTACAATAATTATTCCTTCCTTGGTACACTGCAGGAAATTACTGCAGTATTTCCTGAGTAAATTATGTCTTGTATAGATTGTAAACTCCTTAAGGGTACACGCCTTCCACTTTTTTGCCTGCACAGACTTTTACCTACTCACTAGCTGACTACAACAGTTTTACAGATGTTTACTTATTTGACAAGAATATTCTATTGTTCCAATGCCAAATATGCACTTGTAAAAACTTTTATTTAATTTACATTTACAAAGTAGAAGGAAATAAAACTAGTAAACTGCAACACTGTAAATGGAAAAATAAAAGGATAACAAAGGAACATTGGTATGTATTTTCACATTGGTATGTATTTGTGTAGTTATCACATTATTAATTGATTTACCATTATTTACTTCATTTATATGGCAATGACACTGTCCACAATGAACCATTTATATCAGGCTTTATGAAGATAATACTCCAAAGATAACACCAACAAAAACTAAACTAATCATTTAACACAATTTTTTAGTGTGTAAAATACAGAAACTTTATCACTTTTTACTGGGTTGTTACCTTTTTGATCAGTAGTTTGATGCAGGTGTCTTCCTCCATGCTTGGCTTGGTTCAGAGTATAATTGTCATTAGGTGTAGTACTTTCTATTTCGGTCTTGGAATTTTCAGTATCATCTGGTTTAATTTCTGTAGCATCATTCTTCAGAGATGGCCATCCCAGCACAGGATCAAGTACAATGTGAGACAGGGCAAATGCACAGCACACAGCTAGAGGAATGTACATGATGCTGTAACTGCTTCACAGATTAACCTCCCAGCACAGTCAGGCATAAGATGTTATTCAGACACATGTTATTCTCCTTTTTTAAATGTTTTCTTCAGGAGACCTGGCCAATGGTTGAAGAGATAGGAAGGGCTTAATGCCAACTTCATTCATAGTAATTAGGTGTTAAACAATGGGGAGTGGTGTGGAAATTCAGCATTACTAGTTACACTACTTGCAATCCCTCCTACCTACTCATAGCTTAGGCAGCCACATTTATCTTCCTGGTCCTTGCCTGTGAGAGCAGTCTGAGAACAAGCTGTGAAAACTCCCACACTGGACACAGCACTTTGGTTCTGAATGCTCAAGCAGACTGTGAAGTAAAAGACAAAGCCAAAAAAATACGCTTTTGACTTTTTCACTAAAGAACTAGCCAGTCTGTCCCTCTTGGTTTCTCTAAGCATGGGAGAACAGGAGCTAATTTGATGTCTGAGTGGAAACCTAAAAATAACATGAATATTTATTTTAGCTCATGCAATATCTACAAGATGATCAAAAACACTGATTTCTAGAATGACAACCAGATCATTTGTATTATTAGATCCTATATTGTTGGCCAATTTTTCTATCTTCTTCACGTTAAAAAACATATTTGCATGTATGTTTTTGTTACCTTTTGCTTTGATTTAATTTTCATTTAAAAATGCAAGGAACAATACATCAGTGTTGTTCTATTTAAACACCAATGTCATTGACTAGATTTGATCAGAAATTAAGAAATAAAAGATAACTTTATATTATACACACTCAGTTAGATTTACTGAAGTTTCGTTAAAATAAATGTTCACATTGCAAAGTGAATATTAGTAAATACAGTGAAACTGTTTACTGTGAATACTTAAACATGTGCAATGGAACTTTAAAAAACATTTTTTTTTTTTGTATTATTAGTAGCACACAATGTATTCATTGTCATGAGTAGAGCTTTACCTTTTTGATCAAGTTCCTCCTTCTCTTCCCTTGCTAAGTGAATGGTTTCTACTCCTATAGCATATCAACTCAAATGGATTAAAAAGAGAAAGACTTGACTGGGTAACTTATGAAAAATAAGTTACCAGTCAAGTGTAACTCCCCTTTCACACAGGCTAAGCAGTAAGGGGTACAGTTCCGTGACATCCGTGTCCGTCCAGTTTTTTTCCTCCCTCTTGCAAGGGAGGAAAAAAATTAAATTACCCATGTTGGTTTATGGGGAATCAGATGTAAGGGGAAATCGGATTAACCCGATCCGGCACACTCAGGTGACGAAACAGATCTCTGATCCCTTTGTTTTTCCAGACCTAGCAAGAGTCAGGGGTAACCGAGTGTAAACAGACACCCATAGACTAGCATTAGGCATCCGATTGTGTCCACTTGACAGGCAGACCTGATCACAACACCCACGTGAAAGGGGGCCTAAGGAGAATGTTAAAAAGTAGCTGTGACCCGGGTAGTTCAGCCACTGTCCCCAAGCTCTAGAGGGACTACAAATCCCAGCAATACATTATACAGCAATGCAGAATAATACATACTCTGTGTTTCTCCAAAGTGGTGTCCTGATGTCTCCAGGGTCTCAGGTAGCTGTGCGGGGTGTCATGAAGCCTATGTGGGGTCTCAGGTGGGCTGTGTGGGGGCTCAGGTGGGCTGTGCATAGTTTCAGGTGGGCTGTGCAGGGTTTTAGGTGGGCTGTGTGGGGTCTAAGGTGGGCTGTGTGGGGTCTCAAGAGGCTGTGCATGCTCTCAGGTAGGTTGTGCACAGTCTCATGTGGGTAGTGCGGGGTCTCAGGAGGCTGTGCTAGGTCTCAGGAGACTGTGCAAGCTCTCAAGTGGGCTGTGCGAGCTCTCAAGTGGGCTGTGCGGGCTCTCCGGTGGGCTGTGCGGGCTCTCCGGTGGGCTGGGCAGGGGTTAGATGGGCTGCACGGGGTATAAGGTGGGCTGTGTGGGAGCTCAGGTGGGCTGTGCGGGCTCTCAGGAGGCTGTGCAGGGTTTTAGGTGGGCTGTGCGGGGTCTAAGGTGGGCTGTGCAGGGTCTCAGGAGGCTGTGTGCACTCTTGGGTAGGCTGTGCAGGGTCTCCGGTGGGTACTGTGGGGTCTCAGGTCGGCTGTCCATAGTCTCAGGTGGGCTGTGCAGGGTTTTAGGTGGGCTGTGTGGGGTCTAAGGTGGGGGCTAAGGTGGGCTGTGTGGGGTCTCAGGAGGCTGTGCATGCTCTCAGGTAGGCTGTGCACAGTCTCAGGTGGGTAGTGTGGGGTGCGGGGTCTCAGGTGGACTGTGCAAGTTCTCAGGTGGGCTGTGCAGGCTCTCCGGTGAGCTGTGCAGGCTCTCCGGTGGGCTGTGCGGGGTCTAAGGTGGGCTGTGTGGGGTCTAAGGTGGGCTGTGTGGGGTTTCAGGTGGATTGTGCAGGATCTATGGTGGGCTGTACAGGCTTTCAGGTGGGCTGTGCGGGGTCTCAGGAGGCTGTGGGGTTCCACAGGAAGGAGTAGGAGATGTTCAGCCAGCGCTGTGAGGTCCCCGGAAGGCTGTCGTGAGGTCTTATGGCAGCCGCTTATGTTTAAAAATTTAAAGCGCTGGTATCCGCACTTAGTATCGGTATTTTGACGAATACGAGTACTCCTCAAAATGCCTAGTATCAGCACCGATACCGGTATTGGTGCATCCCTACTTTAGGATCTGTATTTCACAGGAACAGTATATTTATCAAGAACTTGTTACATGGTTTTTGGCCTAAAGGACCGTTTCCTAAATGAACTCGATCTTGAAATGATGGTTTCTTGTAACAGGAAACATTCTACCACACTAAATTACTTTTCTTTTATATTTCGTCTTCATGCAGTAACCTTTAAGCCCATCTTTTGGCAAACAAAAAACTATCCTCGCAGAGGGGCTACCCCCCTGCAAGGGTTCAGTGCTCATTTATGTATTTTTTTGGTTTGCCTAGAGATAGTCTTTGAAGTATACGTCCAGCCAAATCATTATCATTTAGTTTTGAAGGGAGTGGGGAAGGATTAGTACCATTGTCAATTTTTTACTGCTATGTTTATTAAAGAGATTTCCCCTCCTTATTGTCACAGTGACAATGGATTTACCAGACAGGAAGTGAGGGAAAATCAGCCATAGGGACAGAGACATTTCCTGTGGAGCATGGCTGTCATGAACAGGCTCCATGTAGTTTCCAGGACTGTAGTGGTGACGTCATGATGCTGGGATTAGTAGTGTATCTGCAATGTTGTGAAAGAGTTGAGCATTAGACGTTAGTCCACTCATTGCTATGCCTAAAACCAATACCTCCACTGCCATCGCCACCACAAGTTAGTATTACTTTATTGCCTAGTGGGATATGTACTCTGTCAGTGCTTGAAGTGCCCACTTCCTATGGCTGATGAACATTACTTTCCTCATGCGAATGGGACAGTTCTGTGACCATAACTAAAACTGCATATTGCAGATTTTTATCAGGTCAAGAAAAAAATAATGTCCAGAGACAGGAAAAGGGGATGAAAAAAAAGAAGCATTAAAGTGACATTAAAGACAGTCCCTCCCCATGCTGCTTTAAGGACTTATCTTATGTGATGCCTCTTGATCGGAACAGCTTCTTTCTTCCACTCGTTTTCAACAGTCCCTCCAGTGCTGGTGCCGGTCTCTGATCCAGAGCAGACTCCACGTGTACCACGGAGTATGTCCAGCGTACGGGCTCTTGGCTGTCTGGCTGCGTCCATTCATTGTCAGCATTGCTCTCCTCCTCTCCCCTCTGATCTGGATGATCTGGACTGCGCATGCGCCCACCCACACTTCCTCCTTCACAGTGTTTGAGAGCCTGGACTTCTGCAGCCGGAAGCTACCAAGTTTGTTGGTATTTCCCAAATTTCATTTTTTTTAATGTTGGGGCATATATCTACTTACTTAGCAGTAGATATATATCCAAAAAAAAATGACTTTACTGCTGCTTTAAGTATTTTGATTCCTGGAATTGGCTTTTAAAACTGTAAAGGTCTAACAAACTGCATGTGCAATGTCTTAAGTTTTTCAATTAAAATACCTTATCAATACAACAACAATGGAGTTCCTATACCATGAACAGCCAAAGACCTCAATAGGGGACTACAACACCCAGCAATACTCTCTACAAAAATGCAGAATGGTAACAGATATAGAGAACTACAACTCCCAGCAATACTCTCTACAGAAACACAGAATAGTAACGGCTATAGGGTACTACAACTCCCAGCAATACTCTCTACACAAACATCCATCACTCTAAAATGACTACTCTGGCCACATACAACAGAGAAGTGTTTGCTTCCTGAGTTCCCTCAACCCCAAGCCTATGAACTGCAACATGAGGCATGCCTAGGTCATGCATATACTGACTTTCAGAAGGTCACTCTTTGCAAAGGTGATCATGGACTTCAGCACTTTGTTGAGGGAGGAGAAGGATGTCCATCCAAAGGTATGATTCAGCATACCTGTGCTCCCTTCTATTTAACCAGCTTCAGGTTATATTTCGTACATGCAGTGCTGATGTACTTTACAAAATATGCATCCATGAAGCTGAAATGCTTGTAAACACCAGTAGCTTGGGGGCGTGACCAAGCCATGGACACGTGAGGAGTGAGACCCTGAAGCTCCGGGCCCGACTACAAGCTAACCCCACTCTTTCCATCCTTCCCCACCTCTTAATCCACCCATGCCAAAGAAGAACAAGCAGAGGGGGCAGCGGTCCACGCCAAAAACAGCTTTTAAAAAGCTTTTCGTGCGTCCGGACACCCCCACGGACATGCGGCCTTCATCCACCGCCGCATGCCCGGACTTACCTACGGCGCGGCCGCCGGGACGTGACGTGCCATCGGCGGCGGGAACTGAGGCATCAGAGCGGCGGCTCCGACCAAACTGTGTGAGCCCTCATCCCCTCTACCCCCTGGAGCCGTGTCCCCCGAGGCGTTGGCGGATCAGATGAGCGGCAGCCCGGCCGCCCCCATATGGACTGCCTTGCAAGCCCGTACTGCCACAGCCCACAGCCTCCACCGCTGACACGACAACCGGTAAGCTCTTCCCGGCCACACAGATCTGAGACCCAGCAGGGTTCAGGGGACTACAGGGCTGCTGAT